GCCGGCCGAGCCCCCACATGGCGCAGCCCCGCCCCAGGCACAGCTCCGGGCGCAGCCGGGGCCGCTCCATCCGCGCGGGGCCGCTGCCGGGCGCTGTCGCGGCTCCTCCCGCGGGGCGGAGCTGACGCGGCCCCGGCGGCCCCGGCCCCGCTGCGCTCCGAGCGCGGCCCCGGAGCGGCCCGGCCGAGCGAGGCGGCGAGGGACGGGCGGCGAGCGGCCGGGGGATGGGGCGCTCCGGGAACGGGCGGAGATCCCGGCAGAGGGGTGAGAGACCTGGCAGAGGGAGGAGTGAGCGGGAGAGGGGAGAGATGCTGGGAGGACGGTAGAACTCTGGGAGAGGGGAGGAAACCTGCAAGAGGGAGAAGCCACCGCGGAGAAGGGGGAGATGCCGAGAGAGGCGGGAGAGTCCGAGAGAAGGGGGAGCTCTCAGGAGAGAGGCGAGGACCCAGGGAGACGGGGTAGAGCTCGGGAGAGGAGAGACTCCGGGAGCGGGGAGCGCCCGGGAGCAGAGAGAGAGCTCGGGAGCCGGGGCGATCCCCGGGAAGGGGTGAGCCAGGGAGAGGGGAGACAGGCTGGGAGCGGGGAGAGTCCAAGAGAGAGGAGATGCCGGGAACGGGGATAGAGCCCTGGGAGAAGGGCAAGAGTCCGGGCAGAGGGAGGAGAGCCCGGGTGAGGGGGCATCCCGGGAGAGGGGAGACAGCCCTTGGAGAGAGGGCAGAAGCCGGGGACGGGCTGAGCCTCGGAAAGAGGGGAGATGGCCGGCTCGGGGAGTCCTGCAGCCGGGCCGAGAATGGGCGCGGGTCAGTGCGGTTCGGGAGAGCGCGGCTGCGGGGCTGGCTCCGGAGCCGCAGGCGCGTGGAAAGCGCTGCTCGGCAGCCCCGGCGGCGCTGAGAGCACAGCCCTGCCCGGGGAGGCAGCGCCACGGGCGCCGCTCGGCTTCCCAGCGAGGCCGCGGCACCGCTCGCCTCCGCCGCCGTATCCGCGGCAGCTCGGAACATGGGTCCCTGCCCGGGCCCGAGGCTCACCTGCGCCAGGTGCACCAGAGCATCGCCTCTGCCTTGACAAGCCCCAAGGAGCAGTGCCGGGCAGGGGCTGCAGATCCCCATTGGTGGCAGAGAAAAACGAGCAAGGAATTTTCCGTGGGACAATATAGGCAATAGGATGAGGTGTCGCTGTCAAATGTATTCAGATGCACTCACAAGAATACTATTGCTCTTGGCTCAACTTGCTCTTAGTTTTTCAGAACATGGAAAAGAAGTGGGCAGACACAAATCACAAGCTGGTTGCAATGTCCAGGCACCAGTTATCTGGAGAAAATGCTACACACCTGCTGGAAAGCTGGATGCATGACTAATTACCTCTTGCTAAGTAATCTGGACTTGTTAAAATGACTCAGGAGCCATGACTGAGAAAATTCTGAAGAAAGGCTCATACACCCACTTTTTAATGTAGTTATTGTGGGTTTGATCAATGGAATCTGCTTTTATGCCATGATTCTCCTGAAGGTTTGTGTTGTAGGGTTTTTTTGCATGCAGGCATGCATGCAAAATTTGGGGATCTAAGATAAAATCCTTTTCTAAGGGATATGGAAGAGACTAACCTTGGGTAAGCAATATGTCAGCTAGAGATAGCTAAGCCATTAGTACTGAGAGGAAGAACAGCCCTGCAACACAGGTGTGAGCCCTGGCTGATATTCAGTAGAAGCAGAACTTAGGCAGGATCAGTTAGAAGGTCCTGAAGAGAGAAGGGTCTAATCCTTTGGTGCAGTATTGTATGGACTTTGGGATCACTACTCCATTCCAAATGGCTTTCCCTTCAGTCACAAGAGGCTTCCATCTCTTCCAAAAATTGCCTGCTGAAACTCTTCTGCTCCCTTCCAAATCACTTCACTACTCCAGCATAACCCTTGAAGCACGGACAGACGACTCTTCAACTAATTATAGTAGAAAAGAAGGGGATTTATTGCAGCACTGGACACATGTGAACAAGTTTCCAATGACACGTGCATGGAGTTGCAGACTCCTGCTCTCTACTTCTACAGAAAAGGTTTTACGTTACATTTCTAAAGATCCATAATACATCATTATTACCTGCCTGCTTCATATTTTTATCAGCTGAATATCTGTTACAGCTGCACCATTGTACTCCCTTAACTGGCTTGGTGGGATTTTGAAATGAAGGAGTGGTTGTATGGGAGGAAGAAAGCCATCTTCCTCATGGTGAACTCTTCTCCCATGGCCAGTTGGCAAGACCTTTTGACCTGCTGCTCATGGTCCAAGCCTCTCCTAACTGTTCAATTATTCTTAAAGCAAGGTATTTCTATGGTCTCTGCTTCTTCACAATTGCTTCCTTGATCCCTGTCACTGCTAGCTTTACGTTCCTAATATATTGGTACTCTTTAACTAAGGTACGTGATTTCTGCTAGCTATATGACTAACTTAGCTTCTTACCTCATTTAAAAATCTTAACTAAAATATGCAATCTTTTACTATCCCAATTGTATTCCCAGCTGGCCCCTCAACTCATCTGCACTTTTCAGTTATGCTAATTACATTTTCAGCTAACCCCTTGACTCACCTCAGGCACATCCCTGATTCCCTCTCTCCCAGCAGCTCAGAGCTGCATTGCACAGCGCTTGCTGTGTGCCAGAGAACACAAAGCAGGCTGGCCTGGTGGGCCTGAATATTTCTGCCAAACACTCTGCACCTCACACCTTTGCTCTGGCTCAGTGCAGAACTGCAGGATTGCAGGCGCTTCCTCCCAGAGCTGTGTGAGGCGCTGGCTCCTGCAGACGCGCCCTGCCAAGCTGTCCCTGCCTCACGCTGGCCTCGCTTCCCCTGGCAGAAGTGCCGGGCCTGAAGGAGGCTGCCCTGTGCTCCAGCCTGCCGAGCAGCCCGGCTCCCTGCCCCGGTGCCCAGAGTGCTGCACACACTGCTGACCTTGGCCAGGAGTTGCAGGGCAGCCGGCAGAAGAGGAGGAATCCTCAGCCAGCCCAGCGGCCCTCGGCTGCCCTTGGCCTTTCTCTGCTCCTGGGCACACTCCAGACAGCCAATGCCTCCAGGCCAGGCTGTGCCCAGCACGGCTGCGCTTCCCCTCGGGAGCAGCCAGCTTCCACCTGGGCTCTGAGAGCGCAGGATTCGCCCCCTCCCAGGAACAGGCACCCAGGGCCCGGCTGCTGCCTCTTGCAGCTCCAAGGGCCTCCTTCCAGCCTGCCTCTGCTGGGGCTCAGCCTGCTCCCGCCTCTGCCGAGGCTCTGCTGGGGCTCCACCTGGGGCAAGGCCGGGCCCGTGTTATGAATAAGAAGCTTGACTAGGCCAATATTCAAGCAGCAATCAATTTATTATTTAAGATGGTAAAGTATGAGCAATATACAGCGCTGGGTACAGTGGGGGAAGTTTTCCCTCTAACTGCACACCGATAGTTGAGTGTTACAGGTATTTATAGGGGTACTCATCAGCTTTTTCAGCAGTTTCTATTGCCAATTTTTTACTCAACAGCAATTTTTATTCCAAATTATTACATCACAATTCTATACACTATTGTGATCTTAGTTTCTCAAGATCTATCTCAAAAGGAGTATCCCAGATGGTGGCGGTCCGGTTTCTGAAAGAAGAAAGATGAATCCCATCTGGTGGAGTCCAGCTCCCCAGATGTGGGTCCACCTTTTAATTGCAGAGACTATAAACCTAATAACAGTGATGTCCAGCTTCCCTTTGGTCGAAACCATAAATCCTTGAGGTGATGATCATCTTCCTTTCTCAAGCGCTTTTTCCCTGCTTCAATAAGGCGTGAGATAAGCATATTTCCTTTATATATATTCCAAAGCTATAGTTTCAAGGATACAAGTAATATTCTAAAATTATACTTCAAAAGGTTATTATTACAGAGCTCTTTAGGGATTAACTACAAGCAAAAAGCAACATCCTTAACACAATTCCAATGCTCCTAAATCAACCAGGGTTAATTGCAAACAAAAGATAGGTTCAAAGGCCTTTTTCCATGCTTTATTTTCCTCAGTTATTCTTAGAATTCACAGCTCTCCCATTGTCGGGGTCCACACATTTCGCATTCACAAATACACGCGTCGCCTGTTTGTACCTGACACGAAACACAGCTTTGTATTTCACACCTGCTCTCACCTCACAGGTGCTGACAGCTCTGCACCACAGGAGACCTTGCTGAGCACCCTCTCTGATCTTTCTGCTTTCTCACTTGAGCAAGGCTCTCCTCCAGCCAAAGAGATTGCATTTAGGGATCCAAATCCAAGTGGCAGGAGCCCAAATGCTCTCCAGTCACAGCTCAGTGCCTGAATCTGCACAGGATGTCTTGGTTGCCCCACTCCTCCTTTGGTTTTTCCTGCAAATGCCCTTGCCCTTTCTGCCTCAACTAGAAATACCACAGCTGTGCCAAAAGCAGCCAGTGGGTCATATTCCAAAGGCAATGTGGTCTGGAGAGGGTGAGTGAAGAAGAGCCTTCCTCACTTATGAAGCCATAAGTGTGACTTAGCACCAATAAAAAACAACTGGTAATTCAGAAGGAAATGTTGAATTTTCTGAAGGGGTCAGAAGGAGGAGAATCTTCCAAATGAGCTGATGCTTCAGAAACTTTATTTAAATACAACCCTAATATCTATAATCCTATTCTACAAATTCTTCAACAACCCTACTCTACAATCCTACTCTAAATTGGTAACAGAGATAACATCTTGACATGATTGTTACGTTCTTGTCTCCTAGGGTTAGGGTTAGGGTTAGGGTTTGGTTTAGGCTTAGACTTAGGCTTAGGCTTAGGGTTTGGGTTAGCATTTAAGGTTAGGGTTAGGGTTTAGGGTTAGGGTTCTTCTTCTTCACTGAGTTGATGAGTAGTGCCAGGATGAATGCTGACTTGGCTGAAGTTACAAATGGATGCTGTCCACCGGAAAAAAAAAAAAAAAAAAAAAACAAACAACAACAAAGAACAGTGAACCATTACTTTCCAAGCTCAGTGCTTCAGAGAGTCAATCAGGATACATCTAGTTCCTAGAAAGACCCAGAAAGAGGAGCAATGGGACAATCTGCTCCCCAGTCATCCCAAATATACAGGACCTTGCCATCACAGGCAAATGTGACCCAGAATCCCACTCATCCGTTTATTGTGATGTCTTCATCTTGCTGGGATTTTTGCCCTGCCAGTGCTCTAGAAATGGTGCTTTCTGTCCCTGGCCTTTCTTCCTTGCAGGAAACTCCAATGGCTGACATAGGTCCCTGCCTTTGTAAGACAGGTGCTATGCTGATTTCCACAGGGACAGAAAGCAGAGTCTGCCTTTCCATGCCCTGCCCCTCGTGTGCTGGATGGCACCTTCCTTCCCAGCAGGGCCAGCCCAGTGGCACTGGGCCCTGCAGTTCCCTCTCTGCCACACAACCTGGCAGTAACCCTGGCACAGTTCCCGTCTGCTTGGGCGTGCCAGGCAGCAGATGGGGCTGGGACAAGTCCCTCCCAGCAGTCCCTGTTTGTGTGGCAGAAACCTCTAAGGGTGGGCTGGGGGGCACAAAGCAGGGCCCCTCAGAGGCTCCCAGTGAGCCCCCCACAGCCCCTCCAGCCCACAGGCAAATCTCTGACTGCTCAGCTGGGACTGGCTTCCTTGGGTTCCACCACCACCATTTCATGTCTCTGTAGCCTGCATTGCTCTACTTCAATTCTTTTGCCATTAGATAAAACTCAACACCCACCAAATTACAAAAGAGGGTGACAGAAACAGAAAACAGAGCAGCTCTCCTCTCAGGAAATATGGAGGGAGGTGGAGTTATTTAGTTTTGTGAAGAACAGGCCCCAGGGAGACTTTGTTGCCACTTTCCAAGACATCTTTTTTAACAGGGCCAGTTACAATAGGATGCGAGTGAATATTTTTAAACACAAAGGAGATCTAATCAGAGTAGATCTAAGGAAGACCTTGTTTACTCGGAGAATGGTCCAATCCTGGCACAGGTTGCCCCAAGAGCTTGTAGGTGCCCCATCCCAGCAACCATTCCAGGTCAGGTGGCAAAGGGCTCTGAGCAACCTGATCTCTTTAAAGATGTCCTTACTCTTTTTGCAGGACACTTGGACCAGAGGACCTTTACAGAGCCCTGCCAGCCCAGCCCAGTCTAGGATTCCTCACCATTTTCATTTGAAGAGCTCCAAGAGTGGAGGTGAGGAGGAAGGGGGCTCATCTGATGCCTTGGACTTGAGTGGAGGAGGAGCCCATCCCTCAGAGCCTGTTTCACCTGCAGCCCCTTCACATTTTACCTGCAGGAGCTCCCCGGCAGACCAGCGCTGCTCCTCGTCTCTCTGCAGGCAGCAGCCCAGGAAGTGACGCAGGCAAGGCGAGATTCGGTGTGGCTGCTGCAGCCGTGGGGTCCCTATTACGGCTATCAGGTGTTTAACCTGGGGAAAAAGGAGACACTAGGTTCCACCTGCTGCTTTCACATCTCTAAGTGCTCTTCCACATCCCTTTGTTTAACTTCTGTTCTTCAGTGCCAGTTTCTGCGCTGGCAGAGACCCAGAGATGATTTTCCTTTACCAACCAAAACCCCAAACCCCGATGCAGCCACAGCTTTTCCACCATCCCGCAGATCTTGCCTTGGCAGGTATTTCATTGACTGATCTAGTTAGTGGGAAGTACATCAGCAAAAGCACATTTGCTTCTCTGAGGATTCACACCAGCTTGAGAGGCTTTTTGGAAGATGGACTTTGCTATACTAACCAATTCCAAGGATTAGTACATGAAAGGCATCTCTGCAGTGCTTGTTGGTCGCCTAAGCACAGCTGCCATAGAACAAAACTCATCAAGCTTTTTGTGCTGTTCTTGAAAACAATGGCAATTGGAAGAAAAGAAAGGAAATCCATCAGTTAATCCCCGGGGAAGGAAACAAACATTTACAATCTCCTCTTCAACACAGACACATTAAGATGCCTACACAAATGTATTGGGATGAAAATGCCTGCTTGGCCACACAGGAGCCACCTGCAGCTCTGTCTCTCAGCAGTCTGAAAATTGCAGCTTCCCATTTTGCAGCAAAAGAAAAATTGTCATGGTCAGAAGGAGGAGAGGTGCCATCCCTACGGTCACCCTCTGCTCATTTCAATGAGCATTGACTCAAGTCAATGCATGAATGGTAGGCCCATCCCAGAAAGTGCCAGGAAACAAACAGGAAGTTTTGGCAGGCTCTCCACATCACCAGGCTCTGGCTTGGTGACATGGAGAATGTGGCTTGGGCTAGGAGAGAAACATGCTCACTGAGTGTTTCAGCAGCACTGCACAAGAAGCAGAAGAAACTCTGTGGCCTTTACAGCCTCATGCCCAGGTTTCAGGCATGTTTCCCAGTGCGAAGAAACTGCACAGGGGGTTAGGTTCCTCTTTAAAGACCACAGTTTTAGAAACTTTGTTGGGTTTGGGTTTGGGTTTCCTTCCTTCATTTATGGAAAGATAACAGCAGTTCTAAGATGCTTGTTTCCTGTTACTGGGACCATCTCCACAGACAAAAGAACTGGAAGCACTTATAACCCAAAGGAAAATGTTGCCTGAGAATGGAGTTTGTTTGCATGTGGTAAGGCTTGAGTTCCCCCACTGATGCAACCAAAACTAGAGCAGATGCTGATGTGTTGCAGGGACATTTTTAGGAGGGGACCTTGGTGGAAGTAGTTCCAGCAGATGGCAATGGGATTTTGTCCAGTGGCACGCAGGACATGGGACAGGTGAGAAAGACAGTGGGATCAGTGAGTATTTGCTCCTTACCATGTCAGGACTTTGGTTCCAGTAAGGAGGTTCTTGTTCTACCATTTCAATGCCCACGATTCCAAAAGACCAGATGTCCACTTTGGGGCCATATGGTTGACCTGTCACCACTTCAGGCGCCATCCACCAAGGAGTCCCAGCTACTGAGCACAGTCTGCTCTGCTCAGGGGTGAGCTGAGCAGAGAGGCCAAAATCAGCTGAGGAGAAAGCAAAATACTGGTTTTATTTGGATTCTGTGCAATTAGGAAAGCAAGCAAAAGAATTCCCCAGTAGAAGTTTGAAAATGTGCTGTTGAATCTCCTGGCATTGGCGACTTTTAAAATCCCCCCATGTTTTACACTGTCTCCAGCAGTGGCTTTTGTTCTTTGGAAACTTTAGACTTGTAGCTCCCTCCCTCTGGAAGGGACCCACACAGAACAAGGCCACTCTTGCCTGCTTGTTCCTTGTCCTACCTCTGTGCACGTTGCAACTGTGCCCTCAGCTCACAGCGGGTGTCCCTGCGCTGCCACCAGCAGCATTTTTGGGGAGCTGGCTGTCACTCCAAGCAGCCCCACAGCCACATCCCTGGAATGCTGCACCTGACCAAGAATATACTGACCCAGCTTGACAGAGCCGTCGGTTCTGAGAAGGATGTTTTCGCTCTTCACATCTCGATGGATCACGTGCTTTGAGTGAAGAAAATAAAGTCCTTGCAGGCACTGAGAGAGAAAACAGGAACAGGAGGGCAAAAATGAGTGATGTGATTTCATCACACAAGAAAGGAAACAAAGAATCTAAAAGATTCCCTCTCCAGGGGAATGGGGAGTAATGGCAGAACACAGTGCCACTGAGAGGAAGAGCTTGCTGCTCCAACACTTGCAGAGCAGGACCTTTCTGAGGAAAGGCATGTCAGCTTTTGAAAGAGCAACAGCATCTGCTCTTGTAGAGTGTTCCCTGCAAACCAGCCAGGATGACTCCTGCTGCAGTGCATGTGCTCAGAAGCAAAGAACATTTGGGCTGCACTCCTGTCCTTTTTAGCTGAGGACTGAGAGAAACGAGTCTCTTTCTTTTTTCTTTGCTGCTTGTTTCAAATCCTGCCACCAGCACCTCTACTTTCACAGGCAAGGAATGCAGTGAAGACAGACTCCAGGCAAACATTTAGAGAGGCAAAGTGGAGAACAGCAAATACAAATACATGAGGCAGAGTGAGAATACAACCGGAGGAGATAAGAGTACTGGCACTGAGTACAGTGAGTGCAGGGGCACTGGCAGGCCTTTCACTTCAGGTGCTTTTACTTGCCCATAGCATAGCAGCAACACAGAAACAAAGCTTGGCACAGGAAATCACTCCAGCTCTGAGCCCCTGCTCCCCAGACAATCCTGCCCAAGCCCTCGGAAACACAGATGGGATTGCTGACCTCCCGGCTGATGGCTGCCATCTCATCTTCAGACAGGTAGGTCTTACTGATGACATCGGTCAGGGCGCCTCCATCCATGTACTCCATAACCAGCAAGAGTTCCTCGCCCAGAAAGTAGCTGAAAGAAGGAAACAAGGGCATGGAGATGAACATGCATGGCTAGGTTGATTTTTTGCTTCCAGGTTTCTTATTTCCAGATGCCTTTGTGACAAGGACAGAATCAAAGGAATAGATATTCCCTCGTGGCTGTGCATTGTTTGCAATCTGTGCAGTCTCAAAGAGAAAGGCACAGCTGTGAAAAAGGAGATGTCCAGCAAGTGAAAAATGCAGTTTAGAAACAGCCCAGATAAAAAACCTGTCGGGCATGGTGTTTCTGGAAATAAGCACCTGGTCTTCCTGGCATGCACAGCAATGGCAAAGAGGGGCAACAATCCAAGGGAAATCCACTTTAGGATGGTTCATCAGCACTTAAGAAACTTTAAAAAATCAACCCCAAACAAATGTCGAGGCAGTGAACTTAGAGTCTATTGACTTAGGAAGATACAGCTGATCCAGGCTTTGAATAATTTTGGAATCATTTTCAAATTAGGTGTGCCAGGGAAGACTCCTGCAGACAAGATGCACTCTCTTCTCATCCGTTGGAGATGAGTAGAGAAATATGAATAAATAAAAATTACCAGCTCTACTTTCTGCCACTGACCAAAGGGGGTTTTTAACCTCTCATGTTTTCTGTATGTAAACACACATCCATGACATAAGACCATGATCTCTCACCTGTCTAAATAATTCACAACATTGGGACTCCTACACTTCTTCATGATCATGATTTCATTAACGGTTAGTTCCTTCCTCCTCAGTTCTTGAAGATTGATTATCTTTATGGCCACCTAAAATGACATTGAAAATCAGTAACTTGAGAAGTTGGTGGCACGAGACCACAACGCACATGGAGCGAGTGATTTTGCAATGACACAACTGAGCTGTGCCAAACTTCCATGTGATTAGGCACTGCACTAATTAGGAACTGACATTCCAACAGCCCATTTCTCGGCTCCTTTGGGGGCCAGTTACAGGACACATGGGGCCACTGACATTTTGCCTTGACCACTTGGTAACAGTGGTGTCTCAGCTATCACCCACAAACCTCTGATCACAATCTCTGCTGCTTTGGATGGGATTCAGAAGAAGTAATCCATGCCTTAATACTCTGTGGGTACATCTTGGGCTATGGGCAGGGCTTAGGGCTTTTAGGGACACCTTGCAGATCTCTCCCTATGTGCAGTTCCCAAGTGCAGCACTGCAGGTGGCTAAGGAACTACCAGGAACTTTCAGATGTATTTGCTGGCAGCCAGAAATGAGAATTCAGGACTCTGAAGCTGTAGCCCCAAAGAGCAGTGAGGTGCTCGAAGGCACCACCTTTGTTTTAGCAATAGAGAGCGAGCGAGCGCGTCCTTCTCTGAAAGGAACCGCTGCCCTCCGTGCCTTCCTTCCGGCAGCTGAGGAGGACAAAGTCCCAAATGTATTTTGCGGGCTGGCACCAGTCTGTGCTTCTTGTGCCTTTTCAGCACAGCTCTGCCCAAAGCTCCAGCCACAGCTCACACCAGAGGGGAAAGCCCCTCAAGAGCAGCAGAGACTGCAGATGCTGTTGACATTTACCTCTCTCCCTGTGGCATTGTCGAGTGCTCTGCAAACATCTCCAAAACTCCTAGAAATAAAACAGAAGCAGAGAAAGGAGAAGCAATTTAGATCTTGCAGTGAAAGCCAGCCCACACAGGAGATCTGTGCTGTAAATGCCTAAAACCTGCAGGATGCAGGAGGGCTCTGCCAGAAGGCAGATGATGCATTTTCCTCTCAAGTGCATGGGCACTGGGCCTGTTCCTGAAGCACTGGGGTTCAACTTCTAAAGGGAGTTTAGTCTTTCCTCTTGGGTTTCACTTTCTAAACTGTGCAGTTTCTATCCTGACCACAGAGTGTTTCCTTCTGCAAACCAGGGGAAAGAAATGTTCCCGGGAACTGTTATCTCACAGTATTGATAGGGCGTAGCTTGTTCTTTCAGGCAAGCACGTTTCTTCTTTTTTCATTAGTGGGGCAGTATGATTTTGAGACATACAAAAAATGCTAAAGAAATTAACACAGAGCTGTCCTACACTTGAGAGACAAGGAGACCTTCAAGGTCCTGTTCCTTGCTGCAGGCAAGACCTTGGCAGCAAGGAGTATCTCTGACAATGCCTTCTGAGCCCACTCACCAATTCTGAGCAGCACTGAGAGATGGGACAATCTATGCCCAGTGCGTGAACATCTTTGCAGCTGGCCTGACTTCACGCTGGATAGACATTCCACCAGAAATACACCTGGCCCATGGTTATGTAGAAGTAACTGTGGTTGGACTCACCCGCTGCCAATATATTCCAGCTCAGTGTATTTCATTACAGGATTTTCAATGGGGTTCACCATTCTCCCTGAGGGAAACAAAATGCAGGATGCTGACTTTAAAGCAGAGATCCCAGCTTTCAGGAGATACAAAAGGCAGCCCCAGTGTCTGGAGCTCTGAGCCCTTTGTGGTCAGCTGGGTAACAACAAGCACAACAGCAACAGGACAGGCAGCCCTGCAGTACAGATGGCTGGCACAGAGCCTGATTTTGTACAGTCCTTTGAAGAGTTCTCTTGACAGGAAAGAAAGCACAGGGAGATGCATTTGCAGGAGAGGAGGTCATCTTGCCCACCTTTCAGCAGTTTGCCAAAAGAATTCCTTCCCATTTGTAAACGAGAGCAGCTCATGCTATAACTGATCCCAACGGGCCTTTCAGCATCAGGACCCTCACCCTTTATGAGCAGGCTGAGCTGAAAGATGCCCCTCTCCCAGCTAAGGAAGGCTCCAGCCTCTGCAGTCCCTCCAGCCCTCAGGGACAGGGCAGCTAGCACAAGAGGACTGGCAAAGCCCAAGCATGAGCACTGACAAGCAGTGGGAAGAAGGCAGAGGCAGCCTGAGCCCTGTACAAGCTGTTGCCCCCATTCAGGACACAAGAGGATGGGCTTTGAGATCAGCCCCACCGAGGCGTGGATCAGTGCCCTTTTTGTCCCAACAGGTGATGGTAGACACAGAATCCACCGGGCTCTGGTCTCAGCCTCACCAGGTCTTATCTGAGAGCACAGCACTGTCAGCTGTTCCGGGCAAGAAGCAGATTGATTGGGCTGTGCTGCAGAATCACAAAGGACTTGATGTGTTTTCCTAGAGACTGATGTGAGCAGGGCTTGGGCCAATGGCTAGGATTCTAACAGTCATGGGAAAGAGTGGGAATCGGGTATGGAAAAGTGCCATGGATCTGGGGAATCGAGCATGGCTGGGCTGGAGGCTCTCTCCTGAGAAATGCCTGCATTACACTTTTATCTGATCACGCCACTTGGATGTGTCTCTTGGACACATCTTGATAAGCATAAAACTAGAAGATTAAATAAAGGTTGTTATCAAAGTATCTGTTTTTTCTTCAGGGGCACATGGACAACACCTTGTGCTCTCTATTTGTCCTGTAACCTGATGTTCTTTCAAAGTAGCTCTTATTGACAAAAAGATAGCATTCTCATGAAAATAAACTGCAGATGTAGTAGTGGTAACAGTAACAGTCATAAAAATGACATCAGTAAGACGTGGGGCAGAAGGGCTCCTTCAGGATGGAGAAAAACACAACAAAAACCCCCCACCAAAAATAAACAACACAAAAACAACCCCACCCCCCCCCGGCCAAAAAAAATCCCCAACCAAAAAGACAAAACTCCAAAGCCAGTCTATTTCTGTGAAGTTTTTTTGCTCTGATGACTGGTTGGAAGTCAGGAGACAAAGGAGAATTTAGGAAGCTAAAAATTCTGTTCAGTGTGGCCACTAGCACACAGCACTTGCCTAGATCATTTGCTAGGTCACAGCCTTCTGCTGATCCAAGAAGAATCCCTGCTTGAGCCTTTAGCAGAGAGGCAAGCTCAGGCAAACCCAAGCCAGTGCAAGGTGCCCTCAGAGGCAGCAGGAACACCCAGAGCACTCTCTCGCTGCCTCGGAGCACAGCACTTCCTCTGGGGAGTCCTAAATGGCCCTGTGACACCAAACTCAGGAGGAGCATTTGGTACAGCTCTACTGACACCTGCACACAAGACACTGTCCCTCAGACAAGAAACACCACAGACGTACCCAGCATCTCCAGGTACTTCTCCTCAGTCTGCTTTTCCAGGGACATGAAGGAAGTGCCCAAGCTTGAGTTTCCAGGTTTGGCAGTAAGGCTTCCTCGAGGTGATGCTGCTGCGGCAGCAGGTTCAGAGCCCATGACGTGCTGCACCTGGAGCCTTTCTGGTGGGCACTGTTCCTGTGCCTCATGGCAAACTTGGGGTCCTTCATTGCCAGACATTCGCTGGAAGTCTTCGCAGGCTGCCCGGTGAGATGTCAACACTCGCACCTCAAGTCAAACAGAACAAAGCAGTCAGAGACTCCAGCTTGTCCCTGTCAGCCAGGAATCATCGACTGTGAGGAAAGGCAAAGGACAGACTGACAAGGGATACAGACAGCTTGTTCCAATCCTCCAGCTGGGTCACCACGTTCCACTGCAAAAAGACCTCAAGAAACAAGGAGAGCAGGAATCAATTTGGATGACTGCTGGCCAAAAGGCCAAAGGACAAGTTTCCCTGTCAAGGGCAGCAGTGGAGAATCAGCACACCAGGAAATGTCCTTCAGAGTGACTGTGATACACACTACGGCACGACGGCACTCAGAGGCATCACCCCACTCCCTGCTGCTCTGAGTGGAAAGGCAAGAAAGGCAGAAACCACCAGCTTGGTGACTGCAGTGACTGCATCCCTCTTTCACTCACTTGCTTTTGCAGAGACTGATGGAAGCAATTAAGTTTCTCTCTGATGATTTTCATTTCTTCCTCCAGCCTCTTTTGCCTTGCCTTGACCATACTGTGAGCTGTCTGAAGCTCTGCATCCAGCTGTTCCTTCATCTTCTCTAAAAAACAAGAGAGAGGATGTTTCATGAGTGGAGTGCCTGCCACTCTTTCACTCACCTGATTTTGTTGATCGCCCCTCTGCTGATGGAGATTCTCCTCTTGAATTCTTCTCATGTCTTCTTTGTTCTTTCTCTTTACTGCCACGATGTCACTCTGAGCTTCGGGCAGCTCTGCTTGTGGCTCTGCCTGGATCTTCTGTACACACAAATGCAGAGCAAGTGACTGGGAGCTGCCATCAGGCTCAGCTTTTTCCTCTTGCAGCCTCAAAATCACATTTATTCAGCCACTTCTTTCTGCTTCCCTACCTACATCTGCTTCCAATGAAACCCTTCTGTCCCAGGGCTGATCTCTGCAGCTTCCAAGGCTCTGTGCTTCCAGTGCCTGTGGGACTCCTGGCCTCCTCAGTCCCAAGAGCTCTGGTTTTATGCCCCTCTTCCTGCCCTTCCCTCTGTCCCCTGGCCAGTCAGGCTTACCTGGCCATTCTCCTGTGGCTCTTCCACCTGCTGCCTGAGCTGCTCTTCCTGCTCTCGCGCTGGGAACAGCTCTCCCTGAGTCTGCCATGGCATCTCTGTTGAAGCAATCTGCTCCTGCTCTTTCTCTAGAAGCACCTGCACAGAAAGCAAGAGAAGATGGGTTTTAACTTCCCGTACGACCTTTGTGGGCCAAGACTCAAAGACTGCTGGGCTCACACATTCCCAAAGCACTGTGCTGCTGCTCTGCTGGGTCATTCTCTGTTTGAGGGGAGGCACAGATTCCAAAGTGACCCTGGCCCTACAATCAGGGTCCATCTGGGATTGAAGCTTCAACAGCCTCTCAGGCAGCTGACAGGGAAGGTGTGGCATTTCTCAAGGGTCTGCTGAGGGCCTCCCTCTGCTTCTGCCATGTCCTGTTTGTCTTTCAGTAGTGACTGACACCCCGCCTTCTCCCACTTCTTCATCCTGCCTCTACAGGTGGCTTCCTGGGTGAGCTCACTCCTTGTGAGAGACATTTCTGGAGTTCAAGTTCATTTCAGGCCTGCACCAGCATTCCTCCTTCCTGGCATCTACACTCTTGTTAGAAGTCACCGGGTCATTCAGGAGATAAGGATGCATGCAAAGATCTCTGATGGACATCACAGAGCCTCTATGGCCACCTCAGTATATGGAGGAGGACCAAGGTGTTTCTTCTCCCTCTTTTGTCAGCTGAGAATTCTGAGCAGCAGAAACAGACACTCTCCTAAGGCCCCCTTAACAAAAGCACTGACACAGCCCTGGGGATGCCAGTGAAGGAAACCATGTGTCATGTATGGCATGGCATGTATGACCAGAGTCACCAAACAGCACCTAAACATGGAATTGTTGCACCTCTCTAGGACAGGCAGAAATTAAAAGAATTAACTGACAACTTCAGGGCACAAGAGGCTGGAGGAGGAAAACAACTCTAAAGGGAAAACCCAACATATTTGGAGGGGGAAACATCTCTGCCTGCCCAGAAACGGTGGAGGGAACATGTCTCTAATCCTCTCCTGAGAGGGATGCTTTAGGTGAGCTTTGCACCTCCAACTGCCTGGGACCAGAGCCAGGAAGACTCAATTATGTAAATGTTACATAGATAGATAGATTAGATAGATAGACAGATAGATAGATACAGAGATAGAGAGATAGATAGATCTCACTACTATGATCTCACTTTACTGTCCTCTGTGTTGCTGCACACATCAACACAGGTTAGCCATTGCCCTGATCAGCAGCAATCCTGCTCCTCAATAAACCACACTCTTGGGGACTCTGGAGCGTGTAGGTCCTTATGGAAAGGGATCAAACCCAGGGCATTGCACTGGGAACTGCACTCTTTGTGCATCTGTGCTCAGGCAAGTTCTTCTCTTGGACATGACCACACTGATGGTGATAAAGTGGCTGGAATCAGAGAGGCAGCCCAGGCACTCCCAGCTCCTGTGATCTCTGAGGAGCAGCTGGAATGCAAGGGCATTGATTTCCTGCTCAATTCCCAAACACAACACACACTGAATGCCTGGGCTGCAAAAAGGGACAGACACTGCTAAGATCAAATGGATTTGTAAGGCCGTACTGCCTGGCCTAGAACCACAACAGTTCCTTATGTTCAAAGGTCCTGGCACAGAATGATGTGTTCTCATGCAAAAATACTACATTCAGCAGAAGTGACACATGGAAAATTAATATTAAAATAGACTAACTACAAGTGCAAAAACACAGCAGAAAAAAATGAAGAAAACAAATAGTTTTCTTTGAAAATGAAAGAAAATGAAGAGGCCTCTTCCTACAAGTAAACGAAAAAACCCCCAAGAAAAATGAGGGGGGGATATTAAAGTAGAAAAGTGGCTAAATATTTGGGTGCATTCAGGAGATGCTGATGATCCTTCAAGAGCCTCCCATTGTCCAGGCAAAAGCTCCCTCAGCACCTCCTCACTGGCCTTGTGCTACACCCCCTTGCCCAGCTCCCCTGTCCTTCTGTGCACGCACTGCAGCCCCTCAAGGACTTTCTGCTGCCCAGGGGCCCACAAGTGCACCCAGCACTGCAGCGGTGGCCGCAGCGCTGCCCAGCACAGGGCCACGCTCACTGCCCTGCTCCTGCTGCCCCACTGCTGCTGACACAGGCCACCATGCCCTTGGCCATCTTGGCCACCTGGCCACACGCTGCCTCATCTTCAGCAGCTCAAGGCCGCCGGCCCTGCGTCCCTTGGGCCCACGCAGCTCCTCCCCCACAAAGGTGCCCATGTCGCTTCAGATACAGCAGGCGCCATTGCAAGATGGCCTTCCTCTTCCCAGCAACACAAGACAGCGCTCAAGGACTTGCAGCTTCACCCCCACTGCAGGCTCCAAGGCATTTGCCAAAGCTGCAGACTGCAGCAAAAGATGCATCTACAGAAACTGGCCGCTTCTGCTTTTGGCTTCACAAGAAGGCTTGGCAACTCCGCACTTTCTTTCTTTGCCTAGGAGGGACAAGAGTGGCCCCCCCACCGCTGCATGGACCACACAATCCTCCCCTTGCAGCTTATCAAAAGCCAAAAGACAGCTGGCCCAAAAGAGACTGTACAAGTGAAGAACTACTCCAAGAAAGTGCAGACCGCTTTCCCAAGCCAAGCACACCTTTCCAAACAGGGAAAACAAGCAAACCAAGGCCTGCCACCTCCAGCACCACCTGCTTTGCCCTTGGCCATAGCACTGCAGAAGCCTAGAGATAGAGCTGCCCTGAGTCAAGCAGCCAGATGCTCTCCCAGAAGCACCAGCCCTGGGCTGCCTCAAGGTGACAGGTCAGAGGCCAAGTGCCTTGGTCGCTGCCTGGAGGAAATGCCGAGCGCCTGGCAGGACTCTGGCACCCAGCATCCTCAGCCAGCAACAGCAAAGTGCTGGCTGCTGCAAAACATGCAGCTCTGCCTTGTACTAAAGACAGCACCCCACACAACTGGCACTTACAGCTTCAGAATATCCAGCCTCTGGTGTGAGCACTGATGGAGGCTGGCGGTCATGCAGCTCAGCCTGCTCCTCTTTGGCTTCTTGTCCAGGAGCAGCGGGAGCCAGGGGAGAGATGGCTTGTGCTTCTGTCATCTGTCAGAAGAGAGGAGCATGAGGGACAGGCCATTTCCTATCATGCAGAATCTCATCTCTTTTCACATCTACCACCACACCTACTAAGGAAAAATCGTCCATATTTCATGGTGACAGAGGGCTTCGAATTCACAGCTACCAAATTCAAATGGGCCAATTCAGCAGCACTCTAGATGGATATGAAGTTGATTTTCCTCCCTGGCTGCTATCAGCAAGAAGGTTGTCTTGGCAAAAGGGAGCTTTAAGTGCTTGAAAGCACTGAAATGCAAAAGTAGGAAAGCGACAGCAACGCCTTGGCTCCTGCTGCTGCAGACGTAGAAAACTGAAACTGGATCACAATCCCAGCCAGGGCTGAAAAGGGGGCAGAAAACGTTGTCCAGAAGCATCTTTGCTTGCTGCAAAAAGGAAAATGAACAGGCCTTCTCTTCCTAACAAAACTACCAGCCAACAAAGCACAAGATGGAAAGGTCACCCCCTCCAGTGTCTAAAGGCCTAGGATGCAGTGAGGGGATGTTTGGCGGTGAAACAGCCCTTGTGCTGAGCACTGTCATGCAGGGATGGATGGACGTCTGCCTGAAGGTCCCTCAAGAGCCTCCCATTGTCCAGGCAAAAGCTCCCTCAGCACCTCCTCACTGGCCTTGTGCTACACACCCTTGCCCAGCTCCCCTGTCCTTCTGTGCACGCGCTGCAGCCCCTCAAGGACTTTCTGCTGCCCAGGGGCCCACAAGTGCACCCAGCACTGCAGCGGTGGCCGCAGCGCTGCCCAGCACAGGGCCACGCTCGCTGCCCTGCTCCTGCTGCCCCACTGCTGCTGACAAAGGCCACCAGGCCCTTGGCCTTCTTGGCCACCTGGCCACACGCTGCCTCATCTTCAGCAGCTCAAGGCCGCCGGCCCTGCGTCCCTTGGGCCCACGCAGCTCCTCCCCCACAAAAGTGCCCATGTCACTTCAGATAAACAGGCGCCATTGCAAGATGGCCTTCCTCTTCCCAGCAACACAAGACAGCGCTCAAGGACTTGCAGCTTCACCCCCACTGCAGGCTCCAAGGCATTTGCCAAAGCTGCAGACTGCAGCAAAAGATGCATCTACAGAAACTGGCCGCTTCTGCTTTTGGTTTCACAAGAAGGCTTGGCAACTCCGCACTTTCTTTCTTTGCCTAGGAGGGACAAGAGTGGCCCCCCCACCGCTGCATGGACCACACAATCCTCCCCTTGCAGCTTATCAAAAGCCAAAAGACAGCTGGCCCAAAAGAGACTGTACAAGTGAAGAACTACTCCAAGAAAGTGCAGACCGCTTTCCCAAGCCAAGCACACCTTTCCAAACAGGGAAAACAAGCAAACCAAGGCCTGCCACCTCCAGCACCACCTGCTTTGCCCTTGGCCATAGCACTGCAGAAGCCTAGAGATAGAGCTGCCCTGAGTCAAGCAGCCAGATGCTCTCCCAGAAGCACCAGCCCTGGGCTGCCTCAAGGTGACAGGTCAGAGGCCAAGTGCGTTGGTCGCTGCCTGGAGGAAATGCCGAGCGCCTGGCAGGACTCTGGCACCCAGCATCCTCAGCCAGCAACAGCAAAGTGCTGGCTGCTGCAAAACATGCAGCTCTGCCTTGCACTAAAGACAGCACCCCACACAACTGGCACTTACAGCTTCAGAATATCCAGCCTCTGGTGTGAGCACTGATGGAGGCTGGCGGTCATGCAGCTCAGCCTGCTCCTCTTTGGCTTCTTGTCCAGGAGCAGCGGGAGCCAGGGGAGAGATGGCTTGTGCTTCTGTCATCTGTCAGAAGAGAGGAGCATGAGGGACAGGCCATTTCCTATCATGCAGAATCTCATCTCTTTTCACATCTACCACCACACCTACTAAGGAAAAATCGTCCATATTTCATGGTGACAGAGGGCTTCGAATTCACAGCTACCAAATTCAAATGGGCCAATTCAGCAGCACTCTAGATGGATATGAAGTTGATTTTCCTCCCTGGCTGCTATCAGCAAGAAGGTTGGCTTGG